ATTAACAACAATATTACCAAATGATCAAATCGGTTAGCATTTAGCAGCAGATAAAGATATATGGACAAAATGAAGTGTCCGGAGTGCGAGATCAAAAAAAGTATGAGAGATGGATTCTGGCAAATGAGTCTATATTCTTAACTCTCGTTATATATCTGGCAAATGGGCAAATGTAGTCAAAATATCAAACCAAAGGAAGGATATGCAGCTTTCAACTAATCAAGTTATTTGGAAATGAAGGTTGGCCCTTAACTGGAGAAAAAAATTAGCCACTAACCTGGAAAAGAAACAGGACTATGAGGATCCAGAATCCTTTTTATCCAATTCTGCACTCAACATATGATGGAGAAGAATGTCAACTTTGCGGCTCCGAGTTTTAGTGCTGAAACAAACCACAAAAGTTGGTCACGTCAACATTTGAAGACAACAGGAGAGGATGGATATATATTAAAACTAGTTAATTGTCGTACCCAACAAAACGTCGACGATCCTTTCTATTATCTCCATCCTGAACCACAGAAAAGATATAAATTCATTTGCACAGTTAGTCGGATTTACATATTGTTAACTAGTACTCAATTCTCAAGTCTATTACTCTCCTCGAAAGAAAGAATAGATAAAAATGAGGGAGAGAGAGGAGAGAGAGAAATTCAGTAAATCTTCTCCCCCAAAATTTATGACCGATTGCTAGAATAGAACTTCAGTAATATCAATCTGAAAAACAGCATACATCTCTAACTCCACATACCCTTTTTTGAAATCATTATAAGAGTTAATATAAATCATTAGTTCGCATGAGGTCTCCCTTTCTACTTTCAGTTGAAGTTCAAAATATGTCAATATCCATCTTTCTTAAGGATCAGAAGATACTGACCTGATCCTGTTCTTCGCCATTTTCTGAAGATTCAATATCCAATTCAGCAAAGAATGCTTCCAAGACAAAAGCTACCACCTGAATCATATCACAATATTATAAGTACTTTTAACTTCGCTACATGTTATGATATGCTTAGCATGCACTCAGCATAAAAGAACGGAGTTCCATTGACGAGTAACACTGGAAACTTATCTAATTAACTAACAATCATGTCACTCACCATTTACCAGTGAGTGCATTAAACCATTAAGTAATTACCAATTAAAAAAGGTTATTTTGAATTCTCTCATTAAAGAAAAAAGAAAAGAAAAGGTACGTGAACGCTCTATTTGTTTCAAGTTCAACATTAACATTCATTTCCAACAATATGATCTTGCTTGTTGGTTACAAAAGTATTGTGTCAACTAAAAGAAAACAATATAGCTTCTAATCTTAAAGGGGAAAAAGGCCTGGTGAAATCAGATTCAATTTATTTATTATGAAGCATTTCTCAGGACAAGAAGTCCATTTATTTGCAGCCACCACATCGACAAGGTAAAAGCATTGCATAAAACACTAAAGAAACTTACCAAATTCAAGAGCAGCAAAACGGTTATTAGGTAGAAACTGATAAAATAAACGAGGGTCCAAATGCTTCCTGTCAACTCCTTGTAGCTCTGGAAGATAAATTTATATTCAGCAACAAATTCCAGAAATGGTAAAGAAAAGTTTTAGGTATAAATCAGGGAAAATGAAAATAATGACTCGAAATACAGGGATCGGGCGTCCTGCGAAATCCAAACTCAGTTTATGAGGCTAGRGTACATATGAATACTACTTTGTATGCTGCATGGCTGTCTTACAAGCGTAAAGCAGCCATCTTAATCTTGTAGCCATAAAATAATACAGAAATCTTTAAAGCCAAAGAAAAGATGAAAAAGATAACGAATAATAGAATAAACAGGAATTTTAGACATCTGATTTCCCTGAAGTAAAAGTGTGATATTATAGTACCCTTCTCTCGTTTGAATTTGTGTTCCAAGAATAAGCTTAATTTCTTTTAGTTTTTATCCTTCATACTGAACCAAATACCAAAATCACTCATTATTCAATAGACACGTCAAGATATTTTTTTTTTTATAAGAAACCACTCTTTCATTCAGAAAAATGAAAAGATGAACAAGAAGGGCATACAAAAAAACAGCCCAAGAAGAGGACGCCCATTAAATAAAAGAGCTCCAATCCAAAAGAATAACACCTAACTGATAATTACAAAAGGCCTTAGAGACCGAACCCCGCAAAGAAGGATTAAACCGTACAAGGTCCCAAACAGTATCCACAGATTGCCCCTTAAAGACATTACTAAATATTAGTTCATTATATGACTCAATTTCAGAAAATAATTACTACGACAATAATATGGCATCCCTTGGGAAAAAGAATGAAGTAACACGTTCATAACAGGATGTGCCCCTGATTCATATTGCTTATAAAAGACCAAGGAGGAGTAGGGTTCAGAGTCCAAATTAAGAGAAATCCAAGGAACTCTATAGTTCTTAGATTGGATGAGTTAGTCGATGATTGGGGATTGGAGGGAGTGAATTAGCTGATGCAATCAAGATAGAATAAAAGGGGGGTGTAAGAGTGAAGAATATCCTAGATGAATTTCGTACATGAGAGTCAGAAGTCTTATGGAAACTCCTAGTTGTATTGTTTTCCTAGATCAATGAAATTCTTTTAGCCAAGACCTATCAAATACAGTTCATAATGTTCTCTTGAAGCTGCATGACATGATTTCTTGGTTTTACCAATGTTCACAACACCAAAACAGAGATGTCGATCAAACACTCTTTAAACAGGCTACAGAGTAACACTAAAATAGGAAAGTATCTGGACCATTTTAAAGATTTATTAACCCTCAAACATCTCAGGTACACCAATGATATTGAGCGACTAAATCTAACTTCAATGGACTGAATAAGCATGGCCAACTTGAGTCTTCCAACCCAATGGCTAGAACTTGCAACATCTGGTAACCATACACTGAAGATAAACAAATCGTTCCAACCTTTTAGCATCCAACGAAAAGGAAATTATTTCAACATTTTCACCTCCAAATCATATTTAAATAGCTCTCACATCCATTATCCCTTCAAACAAAAATTTCTACATCTTGCGACCAACTAACACATTTTTGTAATAGAACTTGTATACATGTAGCTTCCGTTAGGGACCATAGCTTGCTTGTGGGTGGGATTTGTTTTTGCCTAAAAAATTTGATAGCCATGCTAACTATTGCATATAACATATATCTAAAGAGAGGGTGTACGTAACACTTTTTTCTTTTTCTTTCTTTGTCTTTTTTTTTTTTTTGGTACTTCAGTTAGGGTGTGTTCTTTTGGATTGGAGCCCCTTTATTTAGGTGTATACATTTATCGGGCTTTTTTTTATGCTCATGTATACTTTTTCATTTCTCTGACAGCTTGGTTTCTTATGAAATGAAAAAGACAACATATATCTAAAGATTTCAACTTCATTTTTAGATGGCACATAACCATACCCCAGAAGGGAATAGATAGATATAATATCGCTTTATGTTTAAAGGAGTCGGAAATAATAAGAAAAATTATATAAAAGAAGGTACCTGCATCCATGCTTGCCAGTTTCCCATAACTAGTAAATTGAAGAGTGTCACCATCCCATTAGGATAGTCGTTGAAATTAAAAAGTAGGTAACTGATTCAGTGAAGGAAAGTTAAACAGAAAAAGCTTTACACAGGGACAATAAAGAAAACAGTTAAAAGAGTGTCTGCATTAACTTTCCAAAGACATACTCCTACAGGCTGCAGCCACAATGGATTCCTACTTAGAATGTGTTTGGATTAACTCCTTAAGTGATTTTGGAGGGCAAAAAAGTATTTTTATTGAATGTAGATTGTTTGGTAACAAATAAAAATAACTTTTGAAATAATCAAATTGATTTATAATCATTTTTTGAATCACTTTAAAAGTTCATTATCCAGAAAGTGATTTTAAAATGATTGATCAAAAATCATTTTATGGTAATTTAACGTTTGTAGAATCACTTTTAGATATAATACAATAAACTAAGGATTAAAATTACTTGTACGAAAATGTAACCAAACACACAACTATTTTAATTAAAGCTATTTTTATAAAAAGTGTTTTAAGAAAAACATTTTTTAAAAAGTGATTAAATTGGAAGGTATGTCAAACTCACTGTTAGAGGCCATAAAAAATCAGAATCTACTATCAAAGTACTCAGAAGTATTACCAGCCAACAACTCAAACAAACTTCCAAGGATACTCATTATCATCCAGATCAGTCTCATACAAAGTGGCATTTCCAGCATTAACAAGTCCTCCAAAGACCTAAAAATGAATGAGAGAAAAGAAAAGAGGATTTTATTGAAGACAAAGCAAAAGGATCCAAGGAGGAAAGATGTGCAACCACGTTAGACTATGATGACTAGAAACATGCACAGCAAGTAGTTACAAATCTAAAGAATTTGAATGACCAACCAACATATAAAAGATACAATTACAAGGAGATATTGAGAAGAAAACAAAACCCTTCCCGAGAATTAATTGTAAATAGTAAAAAATATGTTAATACAAATCTGAAAACATAATACAAAACTTAGGATTAAAGTTTATGGTCTGCAAAATTTACAAAGACCTAAATTAGTTTATATGTTACAGCAAGATGCAATTTAGAACATAAAGAAAAGCTAATAAAGATGTACCTCATCAGATTTATCATTATACTATTATAATTTATAGATCATATAGATCGACTCATACCTGCACACCAAGAGTGCAATAAAGACAGAGAACGCAGAAAATGGTTCCTAGATATGGCATCAAACTAGGGATGAGGGTTAAGAAGGTTGCAAGAAATGCTCGATATTGCTGGACATGCATTAAGAGCCTTATCAGACGTAACATTCTTGCTATCAGAAGGTAGCGAATCCTGTGTCAAAGAAGAGAAAGAAAATATAAATGTTCCTTTGTAATGAGATTAAATAAGAATTACATACTATAGATTAGAAGAAAAAGTATCAGGCTTGATTGTAATCAAGCTAAGTAAATGCAATGTAAAATTCAATGCTATCACTTCTATAATGTCAATCTCCGCAACTAAGGAAATTAAATATTAAGACCTCGTTTGATACACTTTGTTTTTGAATTTCTGTTTTTAAAAAACTTGTTTGATTTCTCATAATTCCCTCGATATATTTTTCACATTCCTTAAAAACACATTTAAATTCTTACAAAGTTCAAAAACATAAACTAAGTTTTTTGAAAACTACTTTTTTTAGTTGAAAGTTAAGCCTAGATTTTGAAGATGTTTTTAAAAGGTAGATAATAAAACAAAGAAACACATAAGTGGAAGTAGTATTAGTAAGCTTAGTTTTTAAAACGGAAAATAAAAAACGAAAAAAGTTATCAAACGAAGCCTAAATAACGAGACAGGATAGACATGTCACATGTGAAACCCATTGCTAACAACATGCCCTCTTATTAGTTTATACTTTACAGTCATTTGTAGAAACATTCTGCCTATAGTACAGAGTCTATGTTACCAATACAATGAAGGAGAATCTTAATTCATGTTAGATAGACAGGTATTAGTTGCTACGAATATACCTAGTTAATTCATACATACTTTATCATTTTCAAAAGAAGTCAACCTCAATAAACAGATCCCACCACTCTGCCCTCACACAAAACAAAAAACAAAGAAAGAGTGGGTCTAAAACTTGTTGCTAGAAATGTGGACTACATAATCAATAATACCAAGAATGAAATTTACAGTAAAACAATAATATAATTCTAGTTCAACCGTTTTCTTTGGTAAAAACTAAATATTCTTTTATTATGATCTTTTTTAATTATGATTTGTGGATGTTTGTACTAGCTGATATGCACCTCAACCAATCTTATAGAACAACCATTCAACCCTAATCATTTGGCATCAAAAAACTTGTAGAATATCTACTATCTAGGTGACCACCATAGTCAAACTCATTAACTTCAAAAATATTTGCATTTTACAATATGCACTTGTTTCACAAACCAACTCATGGTGTTTAAAATCTAAATATATTAATTTTATGAATTCTCGATATCAGTAGTTAAATCCATAATTCGATTGGGATCATCAATTTTGCTCCTAAAAGGAGTTTTTTTTCTCTCTCTTTAAAAAGTTGTAATTTTTCAATTATCCACAAAATGTTATCTCTTGTTATAAAATAGTTAAATCCATGAAAAGGTTAATGATCCGTGTACCCCAAATTAGGCATATCATTTAGAAATCTAAGACACCCTCCTCGCATTGCTATAAAGGAAACCCCTATCTCAATTCAAGGCTTACTGGAAAACACACGCAAACACAAGTCTCCCAAAAAATTTTAACCAACATATGGGTATGAATTTAGAATAGGAGTCCAAATCAAGGAATCAATCTATCATGTAGAGTTGGTCTATMTACCATAAGGCCAAGTTTTAATCTTCCTATTGATTAAAAAGTTAGCCCAATACTGTAAGTTTCAAAATCGTCATCTTCATGAAGATTTAGTCCGGCTCTACCACTCAAGTACTTTGTAATTTTTTGACAAGGTTTATAATAAAATAAGTCCAAAACTCCCATCATGTTCAATCTCTCTCATCCACCTCCACCGATATCATTCAACTACTGAAATTGTAAACCAAAATACAGAACTTTTAGGTAACAACTTATAAGAGCATCATTCAAAAGCAAGGCAGGAAAATACAAGGGAAAGCCAATATCATTAACTCGATAGATATGTTCTCTACTCTAAAAAGAGTCACAATTTTTTTCACACATTCCATAAGGAAAAGGACCTTAAGAGACTATATTTATGGAAAAATAAACAATATTTTGGTCGAAGTAGAATGGACAAAATTATTCTTACCATTCTCCATTTGAAAGAAAAGTTAGCCCACTGGGTGCCACAAAAGTTAGAGTTTCTCCAATCACTGTCAAAATAAAAATAATACCAAAATTATTGATTATAAAATAATAATACACAATGAAAAACCAAGAATTTTAAACCCCCCACACACATGCAGGCTCACACACAGATGAAGGTTCATAGTACTTACCTATAATCCAGGTGATCAGGAAATCAAACTGATTTTGGCCATCTCTCCAATAATTAAAAAATCCAAAGGAATAGATTTTTAGAGCCATTTCAACTACATATAACCAACCTATTGGCAAAAAAGAAATAGATTGTCTTAAACAATATAAAAGATAACCATAGTAACAATCAATCACATAATTTATTCACATCGCATGTAATATTTATGGTGACAATAGAAAGGTAGGTAAACACCTGCAGATCAAACTACTCAGTAAAGAAGTTGCTCGCATAATGAACCGATATTTATAATAGACAACGTTACTATAATGCTGCAGAATGATGAACAACCATTGAGCATCCAGTGCTTAGCTACATAGCCCAGAGAGCATTTTAATGCATAGAATAATTCATTTCATCCAGAATATGTGATTTTTACCTTTCAATAACTAAATATTATCATTTTCTGAGAGAGTATGGAAATTATTAGTTCTCTTTTAATCATGTAATACTTCAATTTTGTTAATTGTTAGTTGTTGGCTGCACTGGATTAGAGTTTGTTAATTGTTAGTTGTTTGCTGGACCGGATTAGTTTGTTTGTTGGTTGCTTCGTTAGTAATTGACTGTTCCTTAGTGGGTTAGCATCCTATGTTATAGAGGATAGTATTTTGTATAATACTTTTGGATAATAAATAAAGATTTTGTTTAATTTTTCTTGGAGTTGATTCCCTTTAGATGATATGTCGCATTATTTTGTCCAATCTAGAAATGACACATGTACTTAAAAGCAAAATAACCATTATCAAATTTTCGAAAAGGTAGAAATAGAACAAGAATTTCGTACTTAATAATAAGAGACGTGCACATATTTGGAACCTATTATGTAACTATCTGGAGAATAATATATCTCCTTATCAAGACCTTACCAAATACAAACTCGAGTTCTTGCCATGCTTTCTGACCAACATTATTTTCAATATCGAGCTGCAACAAGAATAGCAGAAGTTACACATCTCATATGCTGCAGTGAATTTTTTTGAAGTAAAAAATAAATGTCAGATTAATAAATTGAACATRGCTGCTATTGATTCTCTCAAAATAATTTCAACAAACATCAAAACGGACAACTCAGGTCATCACTTAATAGACATAATTCAGAATCCGACAATTAATTGTGTAAGAAAAAAAAAAGCTAAAGCTGAAAAAGTTAATTTCTATAATTTAGACAATTTCTATAATTTAGACAAAATCTGTGGATCATAGTCTCCATGGTACAAGTGCAACGTAAATTACAAAAGATAATAAATACTATGTTTGCAAGATCAAATAATTTTCCATTCATTATAGATTGCCAAGAGAAGTTAATTACATAAATAAAATTATAATTTAAGCTTCAGCCTTACTGTTGTTTCAATAATAACAGCAACCAGGTTCAGTATGAGGATGAAGGATACAACATATCCAAATGTGGGGCTTCGCACAAATGTTTTCAACTTTTCTGATAAAGATGAATGGTAGATCCAGGGATACCCTTCAAACCAAGAAGGCTGCAATCATGATAGTTTCAGATAAGAAAAATAAGCCCTTCCTCATTCATTCTGTTCACTCCTGGGTAATTTATTAAAATTATAGGGTAAAACTATGAAGACTTACAATGTCCTCTTTCTGGAACTTCAAAGCTATAGCATTGCAGAGGTCATCAAACTCATTGATATTTATCTACATATGAGAAAGAAGTTCAAATAAAATTAAAGGACAGAAATAAAACATTCTTTTTAAATTCAAAATTATGCTCCTCTATGCATGACTGAAAATATAATCGTTCAGTATATTTTAATTGGGAGCCTTTTTGTAAGCTCCTTTTGGGCATAGGTTTCCTACATGTAGAATTAATTGTTCTCGGTGTAGTTCCACATCCTTTTTTTTTTAATAGCTGTTCTCCATTTGTACATAACCTTAATATTGGACCTTTCTTTTTCTTTCCTTTTTTTTTCTATGGGAGCCTTTTTGTAAGCTCCTTTAAGAAATAGGTTTTTTGAATGTAACTTTTTACCATATGAGAAAAAGTTTTTGTTTCTTGTTAGAGAATTAAAATAATAAAGAAAAAAATTTTCATTCAAGGTCCGGTAGCAGTATATTTCACATATTCCGGTAACTAATATGCCTTAAAATTATAACTACCACCCTCATCTAATACGATCACTTACAAGGGTGTAGATGAACATAAGTTATGTTGAGAACGAAAATCAGAAAAATTATATACTTTTTAAACAAATCTAAGGAAGAAATGTACCTTAAAATCATGACTATCATCCAGCTCATCAAATATTAACTCATAATCATCCCTTGATATTTTTGGCAAAGTTCTGTGCATAAACATAACAATCTTGATAATGTAAGACCAGTCAACAAACAATAGAAAAAACTAAGATGTCTTCAATAACAGAACAAATTATAAACTGAAGTTTTCATTCTTTCCAGCGACAGTTCCTATGAGGGAATTGTCGAGGAAGTAAAGTAGTGGTTTCAGCATCACCTTCCTTCCTAGCTCCTCAATTCTAGCTCAGCATTGTTTTCTTCAACGACTTATTTTTAAAAAATTAATAAATCAAATAGAAGCCAGCATCATGAACTTTTAAGAATATTCTCTCTCATGGTAAGAGAACAGTATATAAGAAAACATGTTGACATGGTGTCTCATTTCAAATTCAGAAAAATTCAAATACTATAAGAACATAAATACAGAAACTACGAATAAAAGCTTGAGGCGAAAGTGTCCCTTTGGGAACATATGAAAAACTAAAGGCACACAGAAAAGGTTATTTTCATGTGCACCACATTCTTAAATGCATTTAAATTAGAAATATGTAAAATAAAGAAATAGCTGATGACATGGGCTCGTTCTTATCCAAGAAAGTCTGGCAAAGGAAATCATTGAGGATGTAGACAAGAACACGCTAGTGAGACTGTCAAAGGAAGAACACAGAAAGAAAAACGGGAGTTCCAATCCTAGATATAAGAATGCCGTGGGCCATATATTAGGTCTTCAAAAGCCAAAATATAACTTCAATTTATTTCCCGAAGTGGCATTTTCTTCTAATTACATGGAAGATGGTGAAGGCACCGACCAATTGAAAGGGAAAAAATCATAAGAATCCTTGTATTCTTCTTGTGCAATGCAGTGACACCTGAGAAGAATTCAAGCAATCACATACATGCACCTGCAACTTATCTTCCTAACTGGATGGGTCATTTTGACTCATGAACATGTAAAAGATAAAACTCTGTAATGTATGCCTTTTTATTTACTGTCTACTTCCACGCTTTATCTGCAAGAATAAGATGTTACCCACCAGTTCTCATCACGTAAGATTTTGAAATGTGATCATAAGAAGCAAGAATAACAATTGCAGCAGGAATTAGATCAGAAGAAGAAAACAAAAACCAACAGAAAGAATTATAAGCTTTGTAGATACATTGGACACCACTGTGAAGGATCGTTAGTTTTTCAACAGGCACCTTTGTTACTATTCCTGACTTCCATGTAACAAATTTAAAACTAACAAGATAAACCTACAGAGAGGTAGAGAAGGAAGAAAAACCTGTATCTGTTAAGTTCTTCAAGAAGTGTAAGGCACTGGTCTTTATTGATATACCCCACGTTCTGTAAAGGCATGAGAAGGTAATCAACATGCAGTAGATTTTCCTGACCATGAACTTTTAAAGAAAACACAACATCGTAAACTAACGAAGACCATATTTACCACGTTAGTATAGTCAAGAAATAATTAGAAGAGGGACAGAGACTATAACTAAAAGTCCAAGTATGAAATATTTTAATAAGCAGAATTATGACACTGAGGACATCAACTTCTCAGCACAACCTTTATACACAAACAAGCAATGTTGAATGACCACGTACAAGAATTTTTATAGACCAACAATAGATGCAATCTCCAATATACCAAGTGTTTTGAAAGTAGAGATGTGGAAGGGGAGCGGATGCAAGTAAGATCCAATTAGTCAAATTCTTAGTGGCATTTTTACAGATTACAGATATAAGGGTAATGATGATCTACACAGCACAGAGAAAAATGAAAAACAAATAGCAACACAGCATCAAAGAGGATTTTTTACTAAGTCCTCCATTCTCTAATCTAAAGTCACACTACCTAACTAAGTTTGACATCATGATACCAGTCCACTTCAAAAATGAACTTTATGAGCTTAGATGTTATCAAATAATCACAATCTTTTCAGATTAACTCAAATAGGTACTTAGGAAGCCCGTACAGTTCCATTTACATATCATAAAAGGGATATATTACTATTTTCTTCCAACAACGGGAATTAGTTATCTCCATACAGATCTACCTTCTGTAAAATTATCTACCGAGTTTTCTCACCTGAATTTAATTTTATTATTAGATGCCCAATGAAAAAGAATAAGAAGCACTGTTCATATCTAACTTTGGATAATAATAGCTATGTTCACTTGCTCAGAACTAATGCTATCATTTTGCAGCCATTTATCTGTAGTTACAAGCCCCATGTATCTCAATCCATCTTATTATTAGAATAAAAGGAGAGAAAAAAAAACCCCACTGATCTCAACACAAATTTATATATCTGATAGAAAGTTCATTAAGAGAAAAGTTTCAAGATAAAAACAAATGTCTAGTACACAAACAAGAAAACAAGAATCAACCAGAAAGATAAAAACTGAACAACTGGAACAAGCAAATAGAAATAGAATCTACAAGCCACCCAATTAAACCTTCAAAAAGACCCGAGCAAGATGGTAAGTGAAAACCATACTTACATTAATATCCATAAGATTAAATGCTTTGGCCAATGTACTTTTCCTCGAGCGATCCATCTCAGAAATTTGTTTAGCAAGCTAAGTCAAAAAATAAAAAAGTGAGCTTTCGGATCCTTATCAAGAATAAGGAAGAAAGCAAATAAATGYTTGTTGATGAACAATGGATGAAGCATTTTAAAAAAAAATGGGAACTATGGACGAAGCAATAAACAGGCAGACAAAACTGAAAAGTAATGCCACCTGAAGCCATAGATTACTATGTGCACTGGTGGAAGTGCATGATGCAGTAGCATTTACCTGACTTTTAAAGCTATCGTACACAACAGCAAGAATTAAGTTTGTAACGAAGTAAACTCCCAACAGCACGTAAAGAACAAAAAACAGGCAATACCAACGCGATGCCCTGTAAAGGACAATATAAGTCAATGTAATGTTAACTTTTGAATGTTGGAGAAACGTCTTTTAACATTTTTGTCCACATTCTTCAATTAATAATTTCAAGAATGTCATCAATATAATTCTTTTACATTTGATTGATCAATTAATAACAATGATACTTCATGCCACATAATTAATAAATAAATCRTGTAACCTCCAGGGTAACATTTAACATCTCAAGGTCATGAATTCTATCAAAATCAAGTGATTTTTTACTCTAGAAATATGGTAAACTTGTGGTCTTGTGCTATGTTATGGATGAAATTGAATGCTCAAAAGCGACGAACAGTATTTTGATCATTCTAAATCACCCACTTACTTGTAGGCAGGTATCCAAACATCTGGACTGTTGGATGTGGTGAACAGAATAAACATTTGATATAATGTGGTTCCAAAAGAAGTAAATACTATTTTTCCTTGCTGTGTATCCTCAAAAATAACATACGCCAACCAGCTGGAAAACAGAAGAAACAAAAACCCTAGAGCCTGCAATTAAGAAAAGCAAGAGAAGTGGCAATATAGTAAGAGTTGTAAATTGCTATAATAATAACATAAATACAATAATGTAGTCTTAGACTCATAGTTTATCAACTTTTTGAGTAAAGGAGGAAGTTTTGATGTCATGTAGGTGTATTATAAATTCTACCGCAACAAAATATGAACTCTAAGAGAGATGCAAAAATTATGCACGAACCAAGACATTCAAGTATGTGCCAAGCATCCCGGCCAGGATGATGATGCTCTCCCGTAGATGCCTAAGAACCAAATGAAATGATTAAATTTGTTGTAGTGGTTCAAAAGTAAAGAACTATATCGTAAATAGGATGGACACCCACCAACAAGAAACAACTATCAGATATAGAGGGAAGAGATAAGTCCATATCAGAATAGATATTGCATTTACTTTTTCATAAGCAATTGATAAAGCTAGAATATTAGGCTACTGAACATCAAATCTTAACCTTTGGCCACTAATACATATCCTCAAGCGTACTTTCTTGAATCAGTAGAATGAGAGAGTATTGTTGATGGTTGTTTTCTTTATTTATGTCTTTTTCTTATTCTTTTTCTTTTTGTGTGTGTCCGTGTTTTCGGGTTGGGTGGGAGTCCATTACCCTTCTGTGGTATTCTTTGATTAAGCACTCCAAGTATCAGAACAGGTTAAAACATACATTTCTAATATCAAGAGACCCATTAACGAAAAAACATTGATGTTACACAGAAATTTTATCTTCAAATGAAATGTAGGAAGCTCCCTTCTCTGAAATTTCCTAAATGTATTCATACCGTAAAATGCTTACTTACTCCTAGGATGATTACCTGCCAATTAATATGAAGTATAAACTAACTAGTCCATGTTAACATGCCAAACGGGCTGGAATTGGGCGATCAGTAACAATCTTGGCCAACTCAGGTAATATGTTTTGGTTGCAGCCAAAGCTTAACAATGGCACTTAGTAGGTTCATGCATAATGCATTATATGAAGTGCTAGTGCAGGTGAGCATGTAGGATGACAAACAAATGATAAGGCATGATTTCCATATGTTGCTGTGCAATTTTGTTCTAAATTTTTTAAAAAAATAAAAAAAATTATGGAAATCTGAGTTATTGTTTCCCACTATACATCAAAAGTGAGTAATAGTAATCCAGCTAGTCTCAGTCAATTACTTATCCCATGACAAGTGTTGACTGAAATACATCGGTATAAATCATGGTATGGTGGAAGAAGTTAAAGTCTTTTGAAAGCGCTTCCTCACTTCCCCACTCTCCCACCTCCCCAGTTTCCTATGTTAGTTTGAGGCATGGAGGTAATAAAATTAGCACTTCAAACAATCATTTGCCAGAAAGCAGTATAAACTTGTTTCCAGAAATTAAATTACTAGCTTATACGAGAGTATATGAAATACCTTCCTTTGGATTAGATGCTACAAATATCTTTAAGGAACACGATGTGGTTCACATAAAAAATGACAAGTGAAATAAGAGTCCTGTTAAGAAATACCTAATATTCATGATGAAAAAGACAACTCGAATATATGGTGCAACTCTGAATGGAAGATAATCAAAGGCCACCGGGGACAAATATAGAGTATAAATGAGTAAATCGGCAACCAAAATTATTGTGCAAATGACCTGAAAAACAAAGACTTAGAATTAATTTATTAAAAATCACAACATCTGGTCACCGAAACCCCATGGGGGTATTAGCAATTTCATAAGGAAGAGATTCCAATTATTAGTAATTTAGTACGCTGACTTGCTCGTTCAAAAGAATTTATAAAACTACCTATAACCGAGGGCAAGAGAAATATATAGCCATGATTATAATAATAAGATGAAGCGCACTATAAACCAAATGTGTGAGTGATGAGATAAGAAAATATCATAACCCACCATTTTACCATTACGGCAATGTGACTATGATTGTAATGTTCAACCCTATCTAAATATTTCAGCGAAGGCAGTAAATATTTACATTTCTACTCAAGCTTTTTAGTCTCTTAAAAACTATTTAAATAGTTTAGTGAAGGCAACAAAATGTTAACATTTCTGCTAAAAGACATCTGTCCATGCGCTATTGCAAAGTTCAAGTTCTCGTATGGATTATTTCCATTTAAGAAGAAAATTATTTATATATGGACTTTTGACATTAAGGGCGTAAGGGAGTTGCCGTTATGGACATATTACTCGAAACACTAAAAAATTAAAGTTCTACAACTACCAAGTATAGAGCCGTCAAGTCCATTTGTAATGCCAATTGATACCTACCAAACAAAAGAGACACTGGAAAGTACCTTCAACTTGTTCAAGGGATTTTTCCAATAAAGCTGGAGACCTTCATACGAAATCGGGAAAAATGTGTGTATCATGAGTACTATGAGAGTCACAACCTGCATTTAGAAAGTAGAAACTCAATAAAACAGACAATGACCAAAGTGGAAACTGGGAGCTTAAGTAGACTGAAAAACTTCCCAAGATTGTTTCTCCATGCATAGTGATTCTTAGAAATATGGATAAACTGGAAAATTAATATCCCTTGCACATGGAACCATTTATGACTGTCATTTAAGCAAACCAAGAAAACTCATTTCCATCAATTAAAACATAAAACTTAATTAAAAAATATACACCTAACTGCTTTTTACATGTAGTGAGATTTAATATCACAGTCACTTATATCTAAGGTTATCTAAAAACATTGCACTTTCAATGAGTGAGATTCTGCAACAGTTGAATTTTACATTAAAGCATTTGGTTAAAGTGCTAAGTATACAGCATCTACAAGCAGCATTTTCCTGCAAATTTCTATATTTGTGAATATATCAAACACCTCATCCTCCTCCAATATAATAATTCAGTTTTCTCTACCATGCCTATGTTTATAAGCGTTCATAGGTATAATTTATAGTGCAAATTGCAAGGACATGTATGCATTGAAACTGCTGTGAGGATGCAGTAACATAATTGTACCACATAATATATCCTGACAAAACCTTGACATGAGCAAGTCCAAGTTGGTTGGAGTAACGGTAAAAAGATAAAATAATAATAATAAAGGAATGTATTTAGGTTGTTCTTACCTCAAATATAAGAGATTCGGCAGCTGTTAAGTACGGCAACTGCCCAAGAAAGAAATACTCCCTATCATTACAAGAATGAGTCTTGTATTTGGAGCACCATAAGGGTTTCTGCATATGGTTATGTATATACAAAAATTAATAAAATATTCTTTTACAACTAAAAACAAAAAGATTTAAAAAAAAAATGGAAGAACAAACCTCCAAGAAATTTATGACAACCAGCGCAAAGAAATTTAAGGACCAAATAAGATCAAATTTAATAAAAATGAAGTAGAGCCTTGCTGCATTCTGAAAGTTTGACTGATCAAGGATTTTCTCAGGTATACCAACACCATCTTCAGCCTGCAAAATTAATTCTCCATCAGCAATGACAAAAATGTTTCATTGGTCAAAGGTTCAGAGTAAAACTATATGCCTTTCTCCATAACCTCCATGAGAGAATCCTTGTTTCATAGACCAAGTTAGTGGTTATCACCAACCTTGAGCTTAATTAATACATATTTTACTCAAACTTGTACCATTTCTCGCCATAAGAACATGCCTATTGAAGAGAGATGAGAACAGACACTAACGTGAAAAAAAACAGAGTCAAAGAAACAGAGTGGAGGTAGGGGACCACATTTTGGAGAAACTTCCATTTTTCTGTTTCTATTCTAGCATTTATCAGTCCTCGAGCAGATATTAAAAATTTATTTAGTTAAAGGAATTCGTTTCTCAATAATAGAGCATATGTAGCCAAAAGCACAAGATCTATTTCGAAGCAATCCAAGCATGTTTAACAGGAAAAATAAGTTGAATGTATCCTCAGCTAAATTAATGAGATGTAAAGACGCCAACTAGAAACCATGCTGAGTTTTAAAAATATAGAAAAGTCAAATCACTGATTTCGTAAAAAAAAAGTTGATAATGGGAATTTGGAAATAGGACTGGAGAGAGATAGAGGGAGAACTTTTTTTTCTCTTACTTTTGAGTTCAAGCGACATGGGGTGGAAATTCGACTTTTTAGGAGAGATTTATATGTTTGAACTGTGGTCAGATTGAATTTAATATACGAGCTAAAAGTAGAGTAGAAGTAGAATACAGTAACTCGACTCAGCAACAGGAAAACTAATCTTGAATGCAAAACTACAACCATTTCCATGACAATCCCACCGCCAAACCACTCCAGTCCAAAATCATAACGAAAATTGCTTTGAACTAACTTCCGGGTCCCTGAGTCAAAATTCGCATTCGCAAATTCATAATCCGAAGAAAGAAACATAAGATTCGGATTCCGGAGACCAAATTCCATTAAGAGAATCAAAACAGATCCCAACCCACCATACTTCAGAGACACAACTATACTGTAAAGCAACCAAACAAGGATCACATTCTTCACTCATTTCCAGCACCGGTGAAAAGAAAAAAAGACGCGGGCGAAAAGAAAATGCAGCAAAAGGGTCTAACCAGATCCACGAGAGCAGCTGCTCTTTGATATGCAGAGCCATAAGCGATGGCGTCGGAACGGCGCCTGAATCTCAAATGGTGAATCTGACGCCGAGAGCTGGAGCTACTGCTACTTTCTCCACCCAGCAGAGACTCCTCCATCTCCTTCCCGTCCCGTGTGTACACTTCACAACAGACTGAATTCTCACACAGACGAAAATAGAAAGGAAGTTGATGCGAAATCAATTGGCAATTGACATGAAATATTATATTAACACACAAAAAAAAATTGTACGACTGAATTAGTGTAGTGGGCGTTGAATTCTGGAATTTACAGGAGTGCCATCAATCCCAGAACGATGGTGACATGGCAGAGACAGGTGGCCGCCACGTGTAACTGGAAAACGATGTAGATATTTTCCTCAAATGGTTGAATGAGAAATTCTTATCGGATTCATTATCCATTCCGTAGCTCCCAGAAAGATGGACCGTTCCAAATGCATGCTTTTTCAGTTTATAAGATAAGGAAGCTGATAAACGCTAAGGAAAATAATGCACTGAAATTATACACTGATATTGGGACCGGTAGCGACGCAGAAGACGGGGACAGTTCAACTACTAGTTTGTCTGAAATTTATTGTTAATTGAATTACAGCAATCCACTGCACTGCACGTTTCTAGAAATGGAGTTTCTTTCTTTGACTCCTAGCAAGGGGCCCCCCATCCAGATCCATGGGGTGTCGGCACGAATCTATCGGGTGCGGATTCGGGTATGCAAAAAGTAGAAAAGTAGCAGTAAAACTTGAATGATACAAGTGAACATTAAGAGAGAATCAATCATATGGAAAGATTTGAAACTGAGAGTAGAAGAAGATATTCACACAAGGTTTAATCATACAGTCGACATTCATTTTTCAAGTCTCACAAACCATGACAATATATGTACGAGGACACAATTGAATCATAAACCAGTGTTTTATTCAGTGCATTAAAAAGACGCAATGTGTGGCTGGTCATGGCCAGTAGCTGGCGCAAACAGGGGATGACTAAATAACTCTCACCACGCTCTTTGTGGACCTGGACCTGCAGAAGCACTCAACCGGTCCAGAACTGCGTTGAAGTCAACAGGTTGGCCACTGTCCTCCATTCTCTGAATTACACTGGCAACGTGGTCGCCCCTGAAACCCATGCCAACCAGCTTCTCGATTAAATGTGAATGGCTTGGATTACGGGATGAAACATGGGGGCCTGTTGGAGCCTGAGGCATCTGAAGAGATGGATTGGCGGGAGAATATCCACTTTGATTGAAGTGTGGTTGTTGGGGCGGATGGTGTGGTGGTTGCTGGGGCGGATGGTGGGGTG